TACCCAGAGAATGAAAGTAAAATATACTCTCCTGGTGTCTCTGAAGGACGTTTCTACTGGCTGCAAAACTGTAAATAGGGTCGAGTCTCCGTCTCTTGTCTGTTTCACAATGAGCTTCACAACAGCTATTCAGAAACCTGTGAGGGACGCCACGGAGAGTATGTACGTTTTTAAATATAGAGTCTATGGTACAACCGCTCTCCTACAGCGTGGTGAGTATTACAGGAAAAGAAGATGGTGAAAGCACGTAGGTTTGTTACTGAAAGCATCCATTTCTATCATTTCTATCTATTTGACCGAACTGTCGCCGTTTTCACAGCATTTTGTCGGTTTACAGGCCGACGGTAAGGATGGCGTTTCCCCAAAGACTGAACTCTGGAACCTCACAAGTTTCAACCACAACAAAAGCAAAAATCGTTATTGTGTAAACAGGGACTAACTTTTTCATCTCCTCCACAAACTTACCTGCTAACTTTGTTCCACAGCAGCTGCACTGACCAGGCTGCCTGCAGACATTTTGTGTTTATCAGCGTCATGAGCGCCGGCAATTTATCTCAAACTGTCAGATAATCAGCCCGATTAATCGGCCTATCTACAGTCATATTACATTTTCATCATAAAGGGTTTGGTGTGAATTATCTGTTCATGTTCCTGAGATAACAGAAAGAAAATGTGAAATAGTTCTGTGAAACTTTACCTTTTATGAGGTAAAACATGAGACCCGCTTGAAGGTAAAGCACATAACAGCTTAGTTTTGACTCTTTATAAAACATTTGTGTGTAAAATGGAATTTCTTTGTGCCCAGAATCGTTTATCATTTGCAAATACTGCCTGACGTGCTCCAGGCAGCAATTTTTTTCTCCAAAATGAGCATGAATATGAATAGCATTTTGGAATGAAATAGGAACGGAAATGGAAAGTCTGGTTTAATGTGTTGATAGACTGACAAACAGTACCTCCAACCGTCTGCACAAGCATCATTGAATTTCAGGGACAAAAACACTTCCACATGCTTGAAAAAAAAGCCCAGAGGAACAGAGCGCCGCTCACTCCAATATTCCTCCTGTATTCAGCACCAAATCAGGTGTTTAATGGCTTTGTGGTTGCAGGGAGCAGCGGACTGTTTGGTTTGTATGCATGGGAGGGCAGCTGGCCTGGAGGAACTATTTTCTGCTGGCGACACACTTCAGCACTCTGCCCTCAACAGCCTGTTATTCTTTAAACAGTGATTGGAATTATGTTTACCATTAAAAGGCTAAATCACAAGTGCAGGAGTGCAGAGGGAACAATTATTAAGATGTGGCTTACAGAGCAGTCGAAGTGTTTTCATGTGGACTTGAGCATAAATTCTACTTTAATGACTCCTACTGCTGCAGCCACAAATAATTAGCTAGAATACTGAAGGCTCTCTTAAGCATAATTAATTCATATTTGATATTTTTTCCAAAGAATGGCTGAACAGTTTGATTTTTAGTCTCAATTTTCTCCAACAGCCTGTAGTCACATCATAAGGAAATCACCTCTATTTTACTCTTTCATGGCTCATAAAGAGCTCGGCAGCAGTCACATTAAGCACCTTAAACTTGAGTGTCAGAGTGTGCCTTTATGTCACTTCCTAGCTGAGCTAACCCATTGAAATTTTTCAAATTGGTCAAAGTATGAGGCTACAGCACATAACATACGGTGTTAGTCATTAGTCACTAGGGGTTGGTTTTTTGCTGGAACAATCAGTTTCATATATATCTATATACTGCACATATTCTGGACTGTTAGGATATATTAGAAGAGAACAATGATAATCTGTTCCAGGTCCAGTAGTGCCATTGTGGAGACCTAAGAGACGTTTTATAATGTATTCCTATGGGATAAAATCAAACACTGTATATGTATATGTATGTATATTAGCAGTCCTGACTCCACCGGCTCCATAAAATGAGCAAAGAGGTGGAGCTGAGGCTGAATGAAGCCTGGTTACTAAAAACAGTGGTGGCACCTGTCACTCAAAGCAGACGTGTCCTTCATTATACATAACTTTAAGCTTTAATATAATTTAAATGGGTGAGTTATATGAAAATTCACCCCCCATACAGTCGTCATGAATGGGGGACATTAGCCATAGAGATCAAAATCATTTTTCATACCAGGCTGTAAACGTGTTTATTTCTGCTGTAAAGTTGGATATTTTAATATGGGGGCCTTATGGAGACTGACTCACTGCTGGAGCCAGCCTCTAGTGGCCGTTAGAGGAACTGCAGCTATTGTTTCTTTCTGTGTTGACCTCATTTGCAGCCACAGAGGTTGCAGCTAGGAACGGTCCAATCTAGAGCCAACAACATGTCTGTAGATATAAACAGCTTGTTCTAAGGTAACACAATGATTCTTATTTTCAGGTGATTATAGAATAATGAAAACATACCTATGAATATTACCTTCTACCAAGAAATCCTCCTAAAGGTTTTTAGACCTTTAAGGCATTGGAAGTATTTGGGTTAAAAATTGTTTTCTCATGTTAAGTCACACATCTTCACAGTTTCCACAGCCAAGTTTGTGTTTCCACTTCTAACACTCAGACGGGTGACAAATTAAATTTAATGAAAGGAAAACAACTTTTTTTTTAAAAAAGGTTTTTCCTCTCAAGAAAGTAACAAAAGTCTTGTTTCTGGGAAATTTGTTAATTTTAATTTAAGTCTCAAAAGAAAAATTGTCTTGTCATTTTAAGAAAATCTATCTATCTGTGTCTTAATAAGATCTTACAGCTAATATTGGATGAATATAGGAACCAGATTATTGTCTTTATTTTCAGAGTAAGAGCACTCGCACAACTTCTCAGTTTAAAAGAAAGTCATCTGGTCCCAATGTTGGAAATGAAGCAGCTGGTTAGTTTTTCATTGTTTATATAAAAAATGATATAAATAAGAATGTTTCTTGTTCCTTCATTTAAAGCCAAGTCACTTATTTTCATTCTGCTGTTTGAAGAAATTGTGTCTTATTGAAAGATTTTTTTCAGATTAATGTACAAACTCTTTAATTCAGCTCAATAAAGTGACCAAAATACTTTTTTTTTGTAATAAGCACAATTTCCTTTAATTTTTTTTTTTCAGTTTTAAGGCTCTCTGCTTCCTGTGGCTGATTTTTATTCTAGTTTTAAGAATTCCAGCCAAGCAGAATTGGCTTACCCCACTGGCACATAATTCAGCTCAATACAAGAAAATTTCATCACATTTAAGATTAATTGGCTTGTTTCTAGAAGGGCTGTTTCTGCAGAGAACTGTCACCCATGTGAAGCTTTAGAGAATTGATTATTAAATTCAGATCAGATCTATGTTCACCTGGATGACAACAGGAAACACTTACATATCAAATATTCAACTTGCTTCAAGCTCAAACCAGCGATCCTGAGATTCTGCAGCCATCTGCCATCCGTCTCTTTTACTTTGTTTTCAACGCAGTCCTTGTGCAGCTCTCTCTCCTGCACACACACACACACACACACACACACACACACTCTCTCTCTCTCTCTCTCTCTCTCTCTCTCTCTCTCTCTCTCTCTCTCCTGGCAACTTCCTGATATCCTGGAATGATTCTTCAACAGAACTGTTGACCCACCGCCCCCAGCCACCCACACAGCATCATCTTAAAAAGTAAAACACATTTAATTAAAGTAAGAGCTCGGGAGTCGTCAAAAGCTGCATTACTATTATTGCGAGGGCACATTTGTGACAAATGTCTCTGTGACATATTGCACAGCACATTCTCTGACTACAGCAGCACAGTGAGTGGAGCTACCTGAACGCAAAGCAGGAATGAAACAGCACTTCTCTCTCTGTCTGTGAAGTCTTTGAGCTTTACATGCTCCGGTCACTGGACACAAACACTCTGAATATTCATCTCATCAAAACTATTGAATATAATCTTCAAAGAGACATGCCCTGCAACCTCCACACTTGTTATGTTTGAGGAATAAGCAGCACTGGAAAACCAGCTGCTGGCTCACATGTGCCTTGCTCAAGATCGCCATCTAGTGCCGACAGTGTGTTACTCCCTGTGTGAAGCCTGCCTGCTGTGATGCCTCAGGGGAATCAATAGAAATACTACAACAACAGTGAGCATCCTGCCCCCCCTAATTAACATCAAAACCTCATCATCGCCGTAGACTTCTCCCTGGAAACTGTCTCCGTGCACACCAGCACCGGTTTTCAGTCCAGTTTGGAGTTCAGGTAGCAGTTTGTCTTTTTCTGTCTGTCCTACCAGATACTTGATTACAGTTAATTGCATTCGTCCAGAGGCCAAGGTCGACTACGTCCTGATTAGATGACTGGAATGAAAACCACGCAGAGCTCTGGGACCTGAGGACTGCACAATAAAGTGAGGAGATTGAGAACTTGCATTAAATAAGGATGAACTGCAGAGTGACTGCAGGTCACAAAAGCATCAACAAGACAAACTTTTTTTATTTTATGTAGGAAAACCAGCCTCTTACTGATGCCTCAAACACAGACAGTGATAATGTAAATACATAATAATTAGAACTGACAAAGAATGTGCCAATGAATAATGTTACTGTAAATGCTTCTTAACAAGAAATAATGTTTACTTTATTAAAATCTTTGCCATTTCAGCTCAGAATTAGAGCGATTGTGCAGCAACATTTAAGGCAAAAAATATCCCACATGAAGCAAATCGACCTCGGTCTGCAAAATCCTATGATCAACTTCAGCAGGGTATTCTACCATAGAGCTGCTACTATAACAACACAGAGATATGTGTTCAAATAATACAGCAACAACACTGCAATTATATTATAAAAGAAAAAAAAATGAATGCGATGGTGTGATTATAAAGTCACTAATATGAAACCCTCACACTTCCTCTGTTATCAGTTTCCGTTAGAGATCATTCAGTGTTTAACTCATCATGTCTGTCTGTGTGTGTGTGTGTGTGTGTGTGTGTGTGGGAATCAAGTAATTAAAAACAAGACAGGGTCAGCAACGACAGCTTACCTGCAGGAGGGATGCGTCCTAAGTAAAGTTCATTCTCGTTGACTGAATGCAAATAAATACGCTAGGCCTGCAGGAGGAGGTGGCACAGAAGAAATTAGTCTTAAAAAAAAAAAAAAATTCTCCTAAAAAATGTCGGTCTGGAAACATGAGTAAAGTCCTCAGCATCCGTGTCGGTGTAGTTGCCAACTTGAGCTCAGGCTCTGCTCTCTGCTGGTGCTCTGCTGCAGCTTCTGTCCACAGCGCAGCCAAAGAGCAGCGCAGGCAGCGAGAGGAGGATCCCCGCCGCACCGCCGCCGTCGCTTCTGGAAAAACAAAACGACGTGTTTCACTGCAGGGAAACAATGTGAGAGTCATTTCAGTATTGTATTAAAAATAATGCATCTATAAAAATACAAATACAAAAGTTATGCCTTCTTTTTGAAGATAACGTTGTTTTTAAACAGTAGGGGAAAGAAAAAAATACACAGAAAGAGCATTTTGCTATCAAAAATATCACTTGACAAATTCAGGCAGCATGGCCGTTCCCTTCTTTTCAGACACCTGTTGAATTAAATCCAGTTTTTCTGGCATTTTAGTTCATGTTTGAGCTCCTGGGATTGTATCTGTCAGTTTGGTTTGCTAGCTAGGTTTAGTATTCATGGTTAGCTTGTGTTAGCTCATAGATAATAGCTGTTGTGTTGATAGTTTTAGAGGAAGCAGCCTTGTTTAAAACCTATTGATTTAAATAAACCTTTTAAGTCGCAAACATTATTTCTATGAGTTGTGCTGACATAAACAATGTGGAGTTAATTTTTTATGAGTAACCTAATCAATCTTAAAAACCTTTTTATGCTACCAGTTATAAGTGATAATTAAAACTAACTTTAGAAGAAAAGCTGATTCACTGAACTCAGTGTGGTACATTGTTTGAACATAATTTAATTAGACGTGGTCATAATTCAAAAGGATTTATGTAAACTGTTGAGTTTTTTTTTTTTGTTGAACCAAAACATGTATATATACGTGCATATTTAATGTGTTTTTAAATAAAAGCAATTTAATTTCACACAAGAGTGGGTGACACCAGCCTCCTCTATGCAGAATTCCAAATCCTTAAACTTACTAGCTACTAATAGTAGTTGTTGTAGTTATTAATTTAATTATTAATCAGAATTTCAGATAATTTAGTGTATTTTAAGAGATTAAATCAATCCATTATTGGCAAAGTGTGTGTTTATTTTTAAATTGCTTTAATGTCAGAATGTTGCATTTTTTAAAAATTCCTTTTATCTCTTGCTGTGATGTCATCGGAATGTCATGATTCAAAGATCAAAGCCAATAGAATGTTCCTTTGATACATTGCAAACATTCTATCTGAGAATGTAGATATAAAACCCAAATCCAACCTGGTTCCGGTCACTCTTCAGGACACTTTCACTTCGAGCACAAGGAGACAAACACAGTAAGTACGGATTCTTCAGGACTTCCAAGGATACAAAGACAAGATGGATCAAACCTCAACGGAGAGTCTTTGCACAATTGTCCAACAGAGCCCGGAGCAGCTGTCAATCGTACAGGAGTCGCTGCTAGAGTCCGGGTCTCCGGACACTGGTAAGATGACTTCCGTGTCCAGTAAGCAAAGCACCGAAATGGAGGCTACTGAAAACAAGGAAATGTTTGAAAACTTTCCAGAGGAGGACGCTGTGCCAATTGGAACCGGGGAGTCATGGCAGACCCCCGTTCTTCCCTTGGTGGACGAGACAGAAACAGACATTCTGTCTCAGACGAGCTTTGTAGAGAAAACTACAGAAGCCATAAAGAAGATCCTGCAGGAACAGGCCAAAAGTGTCACTCCGCTCAGTTATAATGTTGAGATTTCAGAAGAAGAATGCTTCATGTTTGAGTCCGGCTCCTCCCAGGACACAGACAAGCTGGCTTCTGCGATTGTCCAACAGATAATGGAAGAGCTTTCACTAGAATCCAATGGCACACTGCCACAATCAGTGGCCCAATCGGAAAAGATATCCTACTGGAAAAAGGTGGGAGCTAAGCTTAACTCATTTTTTGCGCAAAGGTTTGCCATGGGGTCGTTACTCAGGCTAATGACAAAACTGAGACGAAAATATAAATGTGTCCATGAAGAAAAGTCATCTCTGAGTCAGGTAATGGAGGAGGCCAATGTGGTGGTGAAGACCATCACCTCATTAAACGAAGACGACGCAAGCGAGGGCACGGATGACGAGTGCCATGACGATCGAACCGCTGAGGTCATTTCTAGCGGCCACCACAACATGGTCGCCATTGAGCTCGGCGAGATTGTATCAGAGCATTTACAGCAGGACCCCTCGGTTGACTTACGTTTTCAGATTCAGAGCGAAGTGGACACCTTTATGAGGCAGATACTGAAATGGCTCAACTGGCAGCAGAAGCTCCAGAAAAGGAAGAGGGACCACGGGAGCATGGCTGTGAAGCAGATCAGGGAGGTGGTCTGTCAGCAATCGCTCACAGAGGACCCCTCAGACGTAGAAAGTAGCTGCAAGACAACTGTGTCAGAACCATCTTCTATCGCTCGGGAGGCGGCTGCCAGCGATGAGACTGGTGACACTTCGGTGGTTGATGAAGAATCATCTTCCACCCCTGTTCTGTCCGTCGAGTCACCCATCAGAGATGAGGCAGGTGAGGCTGTAGGTGAGACCACAGCACAACCGTCCCACCAGTGGGATGAAACAAGCTGCAAGCTTATGGTCATTGCGTTGTTTCAAAAAATGATGAAAGGACGGATTTATCTGGACATTAGTCTGAGTTGCCACGAAACTGAGACCATCAGCAAGTCACTGGCGGAGTTGTTCTGGGCACAGATGTCAGGCTCTGAAGTTGCTGTCAAGCCAAGCGGTCGTCTCTTCAAAAAGGTGGCCATGGCGGTGCGCAAGGAATTGTGCAAGGAGGCAGGCAGCGCGGAGATACTGAAGATGTGCCTGCTGTGCCAGGATGCATCTATTTACAGATATGTTATTGAGACATTGAAAAAGCATCTGGTGACACCACAGAAGAAGACGGGCGTGAACAGATTCTTGTCACGTCTCTTCAAGACCGTGGCCAAGCCGTTCACTGCCTGCTTCGGACACGAAGGGTAATCATTGTAAGGGTGGTTAGGACAATCGCACACAGGAATACACGCGTACTAACTGAGATGACAACAGGTTTACTCCGAGAGGCTTCGGTTTGCCCACATTTTAAAACGTAATGAAAAAAAATCTCAGTTAAATAAAAAAAATCTCAGGTGAATACCTGGATGTGACACAGGACATCAGGTGTCATAGGGCCACACAGGTGCCTCAGTGTGTAACACTGTGGACTTGCAGCTATAAAGGTGAAGGTTCAATTCCACCCGTTGAACCCCTTTGCTGTGGGGAGTACAGAGTGCTCACTGTGTTGGCGTGGGTTTTCTCCGAGAAGCTTCGGTTTCCTCCCACATTTTTATAACAAGCAACTTTTCATGTTATAAGGTAGAATTTTTATTATATTATTATTATAAAGTAAATAAGTTTGTATGTCGTAATAACGTCAAAATATCTTGTTATAACGTGTAAAACATTTAGGACACTTTTTAATGTTACAATGTGATACTAATCTGTTTTTATTTTTCCAGCATGGCAACGCGTTGCTGTAGGACATTATGTAGAATCCATTTAATAAAATAAAATAAAATAAAACACAGAAAAATGAGTTTGAAATACTATAATGTTTATTGAAACCTGAAGAAAGGTGTACAGTGAAGGGAGAGAGCCAACTCCTATCTCACAGACAATTTCTTTTTTAAATTAATATAATACAAACAATAGGATCATCCTGTAATGCAGGCCTCAAACTAATGGCACTGGGGCCACTTCTGTTCCTCCATCCTTCTCCCTCCGGCCTGCAACACTATGTCAAAAATAAGACCCACTAGATTATTATTATTTTTTCTAGTTATTTCATATAAATTTAAACTACCCCTTCTGTACAATTTAATACAAATACAATTCTATTTTTTATATGTGTTTCATTTGCGGCAAAATAAACCCGTCATAGGACAAAATATTGGTAATACTGGCTGAATTACAAAAGCCAGAAGTGGTACTAAATGTTAAAGGTTTGGACCTAAAACTGCTGCCGTAGGTTGAACAGAATAAGATTTATTTTTTTATATATATTCAATATTTCATTAATATTGCACGCAAATGTAATGTATGAATTTGTTTTAAGAATCATATGTACTATATTATATGCACAATGTAGTTTACTTGAAATAAACTACTTTAGTTTACTTTTTAGAAGCCGGCTCAGGCCCAGAACTGCTTTCGTAGCTCGGGCCCAGAACTGCAGAGTTTTTTGGGCCAAATGCAAATTCCCTTTCACTAAGAACCCAGATGGATGCACTGTATATGGCTTACGTGAAGTCGGATATGTTTTACATGAAAGATGAGCTTTTTTGTTCACTAAGATGCAACATAATCTCACTGTGGTAAATTCTGGTTTAGTGTTTATGTTACGTTGTTAAGAGTATATCATACCTGTAGTGTATATTCAGGGCCCTATTTGTATAGCCTATATTACCTTTAAATTACACTGCTTTTTGTCCTGTGCAGTTATATTTATTTATATACTGTGTCGCTACCTCCTGCTGGGACCTCTGTAATGTCCATAATCTGGCGATACTTTCTCTTATATCTTGTATTATATGTATTTTCTTTCTATTGTATTGTGTTGTATCTGGAGCTGCTTTAGCAAGTGAATTTCCCCTTTGTGGGATCAATAAAGAATGGAAGCCCATTTTACGCCCACTTACGCTATTTTGATCAATTTAATCTTTTTTTTTTTTGTTGTTGTTCCACATTTCTTTACAGCTCTTTACTCATTTAGTATCTGGCAATTTTGTACATATTCTCTCACTCTTTATATTTGTATTTAGTGGCTCTTTCTATTTTCTCTATTTTTGAAATCTTTATTTATATATTTTTTCTACGCTTGATTGTGATTCTTATGCACCAGTGTACCAAGGCAAATTCCTTGTATGTGAAAACTTGAAACCTGATTCTGATTCTGAAAATAATTACTTTGTGGACTAAGTCATTATTTTGATATACGTAGTCATTAATTTAGTCAATAAGTCAAAATACTGAGAAAGTTTCTCAGTATTTTGAGAAATTAAATCTAAATATTGAGACATTTTGTCATTATCTTGAGATAA